CCCCAAAACCCCAAAACCCCAAAACCCCAAAACCCCAAAACCCCTAAATTCAGAACAATTATTGAGAAAATATTTCACAGCGAAGCCATGACTACGAGGGGTATTCTTGCTCGGATGCTTCGAGCTGAGCAATCCTCTTCTTCATCAGCAAGTTCTCCATCAAGACCTTCTTCATGATCGAGTCTTTGTGGTCATCTGGTGAAATCTGGGCTTCGTCTGGCTGGTACTTTGTAATTTCAGAGAATGCAAGGAAATGTTCTTTCCACAGTTTGATGGCCAGGTAGTCGCAGCTAGGCTTCAGAATGTCATCTGACTCCTGATAGAACGGATTCAAGAAGTCGTACACGTTATCGTTCACGTACGTCCAAATCGAAGTGGTCTTGTCTTTGATGAGTCCTTCTTTCTCTCTGGTTCGCTCGTTGTCTCCTAAGAAAGTTCCGAATTTGCAAGAATACACATGATGTGCTAAGAACAACAACAGCTTTGTGTTGAACTGGAAATGGGTCGGAAACTGAGTCAGAAGCTGGTATCAAGCATCCATGAATTGCACGAACACTGGCGACCTCTCGCCTGGACACACAGTGTCGTCTCAGAAGTGGCCCGACCTTGACCCAAACTTGTGACCGAAGGACACCCACTCTTTCTCGATCAAGGCTTCGAAGCCTCTGACAGTTCTGTAGTAGGGGTCGATCATCATCTCGGACAGACTGCAGAGCTGGGCCGTTCTGTCCCAGCCATCGCTGCAGTGGACCAAACAGTTTTGCTTGAGAACAGCAACTCTGTTGGCAATTTCTGAAGAATAGTGGAGAATGTTTTTGAGCAGGCCGAGCCACCCGCTTCCTTCAATTTTGGACATAATTTTCTTTTGGTTATTTAGTCTGAAGGTGAGAATTACAAAGGAGAGCTAAGCTTTTGTAGGCATCTCTGACAGCGTGGATATTCTCAATGTTACCAAAATCAACTTGGCATTGAGAATAATATTGTTCTTGTTCAAAACCTCCTCCTTTGACTCTGTTTCCGTGCGCAGCAAGCTGAGACCTTGCATCTACAATGTACAGTTTCCTGTGTACCGGAGCTGTCATTATGATTTGGTTGATCATTGCTTCGTCTTCTTTACACCGTCTAAAGTTATGAGCTTTGCTTACTGTCCCATGATGCCTGTCATTCACTGAGCGCTTCTCCAAATCGAAGTTCTTTGTCCTTTGTAGTAATAGCTCAGTGCTGGAAGTCTGTTCTTAGTCCTGAACATCGCTCATTTTTCGACTGTTTTGTTGTCAACCCCGCTTGGAATGAAGATCCACTTCGGATAAGTTCCACAGAGAATGCCTCTCTCAGCCTTCGATGACCATCACTGGATTCCTACATTGTTAACACACGATGTAATGGGGGTTGATTCAGCAAAACTTACTCCTGAAAGCTTCGTTTTTAGTGGTGACGCCTTGTCTTCCGAATTCAGTGCCTGAGTGGTAGACATCCCAGCCGTTCTGAGGCAAATCAAACTTGTTCATGAAAGGACTCAACCGCTCTCTGTTAGACAGAGAAACTTCTTCGTAGGCACTCTGCTCAGCCTCGTCTTCAGGTACGCTGTAGTTCTGCAGAGGGTAGCTGTATTTAAGAGCGAAAGCGCCCGACATCATCATTCCAGGAAAAGCCTGACTGTAAATGCTCTCAACAATTTCGTTTCCTAGTTTGACTGGGCTCGCCATGATTCGGAGAGTCCTGAAGTCTTTGGCGCACAAGTCGATATAGCAGACAGCTGGATTTTTATTTATCTAGCTGAGTCTTTATGCTCAGAATCAAGTGGATAGGTATATTGAAGAACTGAGCTCGGTATTTCGGTAACTTCTTCATCGCAAACTTTTCAGTGAAAGTCGCCCTTGCTGGGTTACTTGGAAGAGGAACCTGCTCTTTGATTCGTTCATAAGGCTGGAAGACAAGACGGTACCTGGTGAGGATGAGTCGGCCTTCCATAATTGAGTTGTTTGTCATGTCAAGCAAGTTTACATCTCTTGTAAATATTTCTTCTTCTTGAGGATCATTCTCAAACAATGAGTCTAAAATATTAATTTCCTTTCTATCAAATTTATTTTAAATCTAGTTTTGTGTCAGCTTTTGACTTAATAACTTCAAATTGATCTTCAATTTCTATTTTCTCCTCCTCATCATCATTTTCATCTAATTTGGTTGTGTTTGGAGCTTCTTCTGACGTAAGTGTCTTCTCATCACCTGTATTTTCTCCATTAAGCTTATTAGAGTCATTTGCTCCTTTGGTCGCTCCATTTTTAGCTGTACTATTGATCTTCCTAGGAGCACTAGAGACTACAGACCTGTCGATATATTCATCTTCTTTACTAAGCTGGAGGTTCATCCTTACCATACTTTCTTCAAAGCCTGACTTCTTAATGACTTCGCTCTCTTGCTTGAGGTCTTGTTTACTGGCCTCTTTTAGAGGCTCTTCCTCCTCTTTGGACTGTTCAGCTTTATTATTGATCATTTTGAATGGATCAAGTTCTTCATGGACTTGATTTCTAGCTAGTTCACTCCCTTTCATTTTTATTGAAATTCTATTATAATCTAATTTTGGGGTTTTGGGGTTTTGGGGTTTTGGGGTTTTGGGGTTTTGGGG